CCCCCCGCCGGGGGGGGAGGATGAGCGGGCGGAGAAAGCTGACCCCGCGGGCGGCCGGGCAGCGTGCCCCCCGCAGCGCCAGCCTGCAGAGCCCCGTCACGGCCGACCCCGAGACCTGCCTCATGGTCTTCAAGAACCACTGGTCCCAGGTGAGCCGGGGCCGGGGCGCGGGGCCGGCAGTGGGGACCCCCCCACCCGGCACTCAGCGCCGCTGTGCTCCCCCTCAGGTCCTGCGCATCCTGGAGCGGCGCGGCTGCAAGCCGGCCCCGGACGACCTCAGCGCCGTGCGCAACAACACCTACCAGATGCTGAACCTGCTGGCAGAGGACCGGCCGCGGGGGGAGGCGGCCCGGGGGCCCATCCTGGAGTTCGTGGCCTCTGAGAACCTGCTGGAGCGGCTGCTGTGCTGGCACCTGCAGGGCGACTTCACCGAGGAGCGCAAGGTGGAGCAGCTGAAGCTCTACGAGATGCTCATCAGCCAGGCCCGGCAGCCCCTGCTGCGGCACAAGCCGGTGCTCACGCCGCTGCTGCGGCTGCTCAGCCTGTGCGCCGAGCCTACCTCCGCCCCGCTGGAGAACAGCCTCGTCCTGCTGCTCAACCAGCTCTGCGTCTCCGTGGCCAAGGAGCCCTCCATCCTGGAGCTCTTCTTCCACAGCCACACGGACCAGGGCCCCGCCAACCTCATCATCTTCTCCCTCCTCATCCCCTTCATCCACCACGAGGGCGTCCTGGGGCAGCAGGCCAGGGATGCACTGCTGCTCATCATGGCGATGTCGGCCAGCAACCACGCCGTGGCCAAGTCCATCACCGACAACTCCTACTTCTGCCCGGTATGGCTGGGGGTGTCCCGGCACGATGGCCCCCTCCCCGCAGCGGTGCAGGGGCCCGGCCGGTCCCCAGGAGCTGTGCTGCCGCTGCAGGGGCGGGTTTGGCTGTTGGGGCGGGAGCCACAGCCGTCCCTGGAGGAAGGTCCTGCCCTGGCTCGGGAGTCTGAGCCCTGCAGCAGGGAGGACTTCGAGATGGAGGGCTTGGCAGCAGGCTGGGGACAAGGGGACCGGTGCCCTGGGGACAGCAGGCACAGCAAAACTCCCCTGCTTTGAACTGGGACGGAGGAGGGCAGGTTTCCCCATGGGACTGGTGTTTGGAGGAGGATGGCTGGGTCCAGCAGCTGGGCACCCAGAGCCTCTGGCAGCTGGGAGGCAGGAGCAGAGCAGGCAGGGCTGGTGTCAGGGGACCGGGGCAGGCAGGAGCAGAGCAGGCAGGGCTGGTGCCAGGGCTCCAGAGCAGGCAAGGCTGGTGCTGGCGGACCAGAGCAGGCAGGGCTGGTGCCAGGGCTCCAGAGCAGGCAAGGCTGGTGCTGGCGGACCAGAGCAGGCAGGGCTGGTGCCAGGGCTCCAGAGCAGGCAAGGCTGGTGCTGGCGGACCAGAGCAGGCAGGGCTGGTGCCAGGGCTTGTGCCAGGGCTCCATGGCGCGTGCCAGGGCAGTGCTGCAGGCATCTGCACTGGCTTTGCTCCTGCTGCCTGCCCTTCTGCCGCTCTCCTTCCTGCCCCGGCTCCGGCAAAGTGCAGCTCCTTTCCCGTCCGCGCGCTGGCTGGGCCGGGGGCTGGCGGCGGGTCCGTACAGGCCGCCGCGCTGGGCGGGACGTCCCGGGTGGGCTCGGCTGAGGGGGCAGGGTGACGGCCGGCCCCATGGGGCCTGGCCTGG